TCTTTCTCATTTCTGGTCTTCTGTAATTCTCGTCTGCTATTTGATAAGTCCAAACAAACGTCGTCGCAGAATCACTTGAAGTCAAGACCACCCTCGCACGCCATTTCTCTTCTCGCCTTGATCGTGTCCAGAAGGCAAGACAATGAAGAGAATCACTGTCCGAGCCTTTGGTCCGAGCAACACCCAACGGCCACATCCGTCCTGCGAGAATCGTCTTTAATAAAACAGGGACCATTCCTGTATTCGTGGATGGAGCGCGTAGAATATTAATTTAAACACTATGGGCGTTAAACGCGAGCGAATTAGCAATCAAGATCTGTCAAGCTCGTGTAACATGGGGTAAAATGGCGTTGGAATACTGAAAATATTAGTAGCTTTCCCTGATTCTGTTTCTCTAAATCTATGCGTGTGTACATATGTGTAGAGAACTCGAGTTCTAACATTCTCGCTCTTTCGCATGTCATGTATATATATATATATATATATATATATATATATATATATATATGTATGTATTTGCCATGATAAATTCCCCCACAAGGCGAAACGCGTCGTATAAGTTTTAATTTTGTCTTTATTCATATATATATATATATATATATATATATATATATATATATATAAAATAGATATATTTCAAAACAGACCATTTTAGTTCCAATAAATTATTTCCCACAGCCCTTTTTTAAAAGGACCATCAGATTTTACTTCCAAACAAAAATGAAAAGCTTTTCATTTTTTGTTTGGAATAAAGTCTGATGATCTGCAGTCCTTTTAAAAGGGCTGTGGTGAAATAATTTATTACATGGAACCTTAAAGTGGTCTGTTTTGATTTAAATTATTTGCTCTAGATTTACATTGAGCTCTCTGGATTTTATCCTCCTTAGGTTTACCCATACGGATTACCTAGTTTTTCATAAACTATATATATATATATATATATATATATATATATATATATATATATATATATATGTGTGTGTGTAAATTTTCAGATAGAATATATCTCTAACATGATAATATGAGTAAAGACAAAAGAAAAACTTATCTTATTCGACGTTCCCTCGTATGACCGACTTCTTTATTTATGTTATCTCTCTCTCTCTGTCTGTGTGTGTGTGTGTGTGTGTGTGTGTGTGTGTGTGTGTGTGTGTGTGTGTGTGTGTGCATGCATGTGTGTGCTTTTGTGTTTATGTGTATGTAAATTATTTAAAAAAATTATGCTCAATATTTGGGATAGTGCGTTTATAGACTTAAGCGGTATCGTCGTAGAAATCAATCTCCCACAGTGACAGTTTGTTTCCCGTATTAAACGGTCATCACAAATCATCCGAGGGTCTATCATATCAGAGACCATGCAGCATTAATATTATACCCATACCATTATATATATAATTATATATATATATATATTAATATTATACCCATACCATTATATATATATATATATATTAATATTATACCCATATATATATATATATATATATATATATATATATATATATATATATATATATATATATATATATATCGTTTCTGTGGCTAAAATGGGCCTGTATAGGCCTCTGCAAATAAGGATTGCCTAGAGGCCTCAGCATATGTGTCTGCTCGGTAACGAGTAGCCGGTTATTATTTATTTATGCATGTGTGTATAACATAAGCTAATACGAAGGATTAATGTGTGAAATTGATAGTTAAAAGAAAATCTGAAAAGAAGGTTTGGACGTTCAACATTAAGACCATGAAAGGCGTGAGCTCACCGCTGATGTTTGTGGTAGACTTTATTTGACTAAAGAAGGACAGGAATCTGTCAATTTAATAATAGCATTTGTTTTTATGACGTTCTGAATGCGTAGGTAAATGTTGGTGTTAACCTATATAAATCGCCTAAACTGAAGAATGCAATAAAATTGGGAAACATCCTTACCGCTACCCCATTTGCTATTTATTTACAATTGCATTTTACATGGCATTCAAGGACTTGTGATGATGACGGAAAATACACCCTATCGCACCGATTTGTCCGGTTTAAAGATCCACATCTGTGAAAATAACAGCTAAAACTTACAATGATATCTTCTGTTGGCAATACTCGACAACGTGATGGCAGCCATCAGTTATTACAGATAAGGCGTGATATTGCTAGTCACCATACAGTCTTGATTTCTACATACAAACTATGTATGTCTGCAAACGTTCTGTGCTCGGTACTGAACACTCTTTCCCCATCAATACAGAAAAATTTAAACAATACATATTCACACACACTGCTGTGGCCTGTTTAGGGGCCAGAAAGAAAGACACGGAATACGAAGGTAGGTTGACAAAAGTATATTGAAGATATATACAAAACAAAATAGTGTTAGTAATAAGTAGATTAATACTACGTCGACCACTCCACTTTTCACCCTGTAATCCGACTCTTGCAGTTTGTAGTTATGAGAGAAGGAAGAGTTCATTCTACCTGTAGGAGGGTCTACCACAACACACACACATATATAATTTTACCAGTAAAAAAGAATTTGCTTATCACCATATTTGTACAAGAACGCACAATTGTAAAATTTAAAATCAAACTCAGCGTTGCTACTGCACGCTCCAAAAACAATAACTCATTTCTAATAGCATTTTTCGGATAAAAAATACATGTATTTTCGTTGTCCTCTTATTACTGAGAGAAAAAACAAGAACAACATCTATTCCATATCTGAAGATGTCTGTAGGAACAGACGAAAGCTTGTAGTAAAAATAAGAACTAATGCAACAGAAATTTATAAAAACAAGGATCTTTTAATTCATAACAGGTTCAGGGTTTTTGTATATTATTTGAATTGTTTGCGACGATGAATTTCTCGCCAATTAAATCATTAACCTTTGTATTTGTTTTTGAATAATTTTGGTTTTGAATAATTCATGAATATATATATATATATATATATATATATATATATATATTTATATATATATATATATATATATATATATATATATATATATATATATATATATATATATTATTAGTGGTGCAGAACTTGAGTATTGCTTTAAAAGTATTAGGTTTAACATTACAAGGCATAATGAGGGAGAAAAAAGTAAAATGAATAAAAACAACCGGTTTCGCTCCTAATCATCAAAGTTCTTTATTGGAAGAATTTAAAGGAAAATATAATAATCATGATATATGAATTAGTCAACATTGGAAATGGGAGAAAAAAATTTGAACCACTAGAAACTGATCATAGCAAGGCCTAGTAAACACACTCACTGCTTACACAGTGAGGGTCCACGAGGCCTGATATAAAGCCGACTCTTGTACTTTCAAATGAAAAAGTGAATGTGAATTGGCTAAAATAGAGAACGAATCCACACTAAATTCCATAGCGCACTCTGTACTATTTATCAGATGGTTGCAAATTGAGGAACAATAAGTATTGCGGATGAGTTCATTTTGTTTCCAGGTATGGTTCCTGATTTTCAATGGAACATGTTGTTTAATTCTTCTATCAAGCCGCTGAGTCGTTCTCCTTATGTATGTGACACCGCTGTTACAATCATACTTATAAACTATAGAACATACATGATGAGTGGGGAGAACGTCCTTACGAGTAGAAGATAAAATCGATCTAGTATCAAATACAATACGCATCTCGGCAGAAAAATAACATTAACATGTAATATTAAACTTAATAACACACACACACACACACACACACACACACACACACACACACACACACACACACACACATATATATATATATATATATATATATATATATATATATATTCTGCCTCATCATACTGCCACCAATACCTCTGTAAGAAGATTTACAGATCATCATCTGGACTGAGGAGGTATATAGTGGCGCATAGTAGAGTTGTATGCCACAGAGATCCAGGCAACCCAATCAGGGATCAAGAAACAGCTTAGGGTCAAGGACACCGAAACGAGACGTAAGTGACGTGAAGTGTGAGGAGGTGACTATCATCTCAGTAAGATGGGCAAAGCTAACCATGTGTGGAATTTATAAAAAAACAAAAAAAACAAAAAACAGCAGGTATCCAATTGTAAGCTGGAATTGTTTTAAAAGGTCGAAGCCTTACAACAACCACAATAATAATTGCAACCTCTATCAACAGGAAAAATTAGTGATAATGACATTTCCGGGTCCAAATAACCTTTTGCACCGGAAAACCGCAGCCATGAGTCCTTGCATACATACTAAAAAATTCCTCTTAAGCATATTTGAAGCTGAATAAAAAACGTACATTTCAATTAGGGATACATTTATAATATTCTTGCTTTTCTTCTTCCTTCTTCACATCCTCCCCCTCTTCTAAATCGTTGCGTTTGTTTATTTCTTTTTAAAAAATAATAATGTAGCGTTCTTTAGGGATTTTTTTTTTTAAATAAAGCGTTGGGAGGTCAATTGATAAAAATCGCCTGAGGATACCGTAAGATTGAAACCAAGATAGCGGATTCAACTGATCTCTTATTTTTAAAATACATTATATATATATATATATATATATATATATATATATATATATATATATATATATATATATGGTCTGACGATTGCGTCTAAGCATAAAATAGATCGGCAAGAAAATAATTTCTTCTTTTTCCTCAAATATTAATAAAACAGGTAGATTGGACTTACTAGCTTTACCAGCGTAGGAGAAGATCAACTCTAAATTTAAAACCATAGAGAAAGCAACGGGAAACCTAACGTTTTCCAAAACAACCATGTCAATTCTCAGATATTAAATGAAAGAACCTTGTCAATATTAACGATGGTTTACATCCAGAGGGGGCATGTCATTTGGAATAAAAAAAAACCTTGTGTTTCAACATTTATTAAAAGTCATTGATTATTCGATATGAAATCGAACCTTTCATAACTAATGAAGCAACTTACTGTCGACATGGCTACCATCTCCCTTTCTTGTTTGGCATTTTTAGCAAGTGAAAGAAATATGTGGGCGCAATCGAATTATTATACGATCGACCTGAAACTGGTGTTGAATTCGGACAGATTTAGTCGATTTCTTTCTCTCAACTCAAAAATGAATGGCGGTATAATAAAAATGAATGACGGTATAATAAAAATGAATGACTGTATAATAAAAAAAATATTCTAAAAACTGTAAAATAAATAAATAAAAATTAATTGAGTTGCGAAACGTGACGCATAGAAATATTTAAATAAAACGAAAATATTGTTATTAAAGAGAAACAGAGAGAAGAACAAATGTGGTAGAGAGTGGTGGAGAAGAGAGGGGAGTGGAGAAAAGAAGAGAGGGTTGGAGAGGAGAGTGGAATGAGGAGATCTAGTGAGAAAGAAGAGAAGAGGAAAATTTTAGAAAAAAAGAGTCAAAGGAAAAAGAAATAAAGAAAATTAAAGAGTATATACAAAGAAAGAAAGAAAGAAAGAAAGAAAGAAAGAAAGAAAGAAAAAGAAAACAAAAAAGAAAGAAAAGAATGAAAAAGAAAGGAAGGAAAAGAAAACAAAAAAAGAAAGAAAGAAAACAAAAAAGAAAGAAAGAATGGAAAAAGGAAAGAAAGGAAGGAAAAGAAAACAAAAAAAAGAAAGGAAGGAAAAAGAAAAAAAAAAAGAAAGAAATGATAGAGAAAAGTTAATAGAAAAAGAATAAGGAATAATGCATTAAGAGTGACGGAAGAAGGAAAAGGCTTAAAAAAAGACTGAAATAAGAAATATTAGAGGCAAAACCAAGAAATGATGATTAAAGGAGGTTAATGATGAGAAAAAGTTACAATAGAAAAGAAAAAGAAAGAAATATAGAAAAGGAAAGAGAATGAAAGAAGACAAAAATATTAAGAAAGAGAAAAGGAAAAAAGTGATAGAAAGATATAGAAAATACGCTTAGAAAAAAGGAAGACAGGAATCTATTTTGTAAAAAATATAAGATGAAAGAAAGAAGGAGAAATGAAAGAAAGAAGAAATAAAAAATGAAATGAAGAAGAAACAGGAGAAATATGTCAAGGTTGAACGAATACAGTGATTTTTTTTTTAATGAGGAAAGGAAAAGCGACGACGAAGAATAAAATGAATGAAGAGCCGATTGAAAAACCAAATGAAACGACATAATTGGTTGGGGAGGGGGAGAAATGTGCGGAGAGAAAGAAAAAGTAATCAGTGCTAAATATGTACAGAAATAGGGAAGGAAAAGAATGGTAAGAATTTTCAAGGCGCATAAAAATACAAAGTTAGAAATATATTACAGTAAAACGAATGACAATATATACCCCCCTCCGTTTATTAAAAATAATATATAGAAAAGAAACAAAGAATCGAAGGAAAAAAAAAGCCTACCAGAAACGACCTCTAGAATTTGACCTTTTCTTCAATTTTATTTCGTCATCTGCACAATGGAAGACTCGATACAAATAGAAAAAAAAACTGTTTTATTATAAGCGGTTTTGTATCTCATTTTTATCAGCGTAAACATATCTTTATTTTGTCTAAAGTTTTTCGTTTATTTATTTACATTTTTGTATTCTTTTTTCCTCATTAAAAAAAAATTCTCCCCTTTCTTTCTTTCACATATTCCTCCTCACTTATTTCTACCATCTCTCTGGATGGTAGATGCAACTCTATGTTTGCGCGCGCGTAACTGTCAATCAGATTATTCGCATCCGGTCAGCGCCCCCTGTCGGCCATTGAGGTCGAACTCATTTGAATTTGCTTGTTTGTCGTAGCGTCAGAAAATTTAATAAGCGGTAATAACTAGCCATCATTCAAGGAACCTCATCACAGATTCCTACTGACTTTGCCGCTTCTATTGGGAAAGTATGTTTCAACTGTAATGTTTTGACAGACAAGAGAATGGCTTTTCCAATGATACTCCCACCGTTAAGAATTATTTTTCCCTTATGAGTTTTCACACCACTATCTCGCTAGTGATTAAGTGACAACAAGTCCGAATAATGCTCTCCTTAGTGTTTTTGTTTATATATATATATATATATATATATATATATATTTCACCAAATACAAGTGTTATTCTGTTGTGTTGTATGAGAATGGTAAGAATTAAAGTCCACGAGGTTGTACAGGTAAAATAGCGGTTAACCCAAGACTTGAAGAGGTCGTCATTGTAACGATTAGTGAAACATCTTGATGGAGATCAATGCAGCAGTTCTTAGGAAGAAGTTGCCCGAGAAACTCACATCTTGCTAATGAAATACAAACTGAATGAGTGTGATTCATCTATGTGCACGTGGTATGGTGGATCCTTGTGGTGGGACCAAGGAACATCAGAGCATGTGCTATGGAAATAGCAATAGAATAAGTTCGTGGCTCACGACGTTTCGTCTCTAGAAAACGGGCTTTAGTGTGGACAATAACCAATCACCCACAAGACGCGAATTATCAAATAAGGTAAGTGAGACGGTGGAATAATGGATAGCGGCTCGGATTGAAGAAACGGAAAGCCGAGTTCGAATTCCAGTCGAATCCATTATGTGCTCAATACTCTTTGAAAAGGTATGACTCCTCTTCTATGGGTAAATCCTGGGTTCTATAACCTGGGATGGCAACTGGTCTACCGTTGAAAGAAATGGCAACCTACTGCGGGGAAAAATCTGCTTCGTCAGTCATGTATCGAAAGATATATTATCACCTATGCGTGTATCACGCATGGCACATAACTGACTGATATTCACTTACGTGCTAATACCCTTGAGAAAGGTATGAATCCTCTTCTCCTCTCCCCAGCTATGGGTAAATAGCAGTACAGACCGGATTATGTAGCCTTGGATGGCAACTGGTCTACCGCAGAAAGAAATAGCAACCTACTGCAGGAAAAATCTGCCTCGTCAGTCATGTATCGAAAGATACATACCCGCATAAGCGTGTATCCGCATGGCACATAATTGACTGACAGAGGACTGGACAGATCCAGTCAATTTTTGTACTGCTGTTGTTTTGAACTGCTTTCTGATAATTAAATATTCCAATATTTTTCGAAAGCTTTTTAGAGCCATTCAAGTGTTCCATTATGCATAGACACTACTGTAAACGTAGACTTTCATATGGTTGTCATGAAGGGTGCTAAACTCGTTCTGAAATATCTAAAGTGACAGATGTATACAACCGCTAAGATCAATGATTAAAAATGGCTTTGAGTGAATGAATCCTGTACCTCTTGCTGGTGATCATACTTCTTCAAACGTTGTGCACTGGCGCTACACAGTCACAAACAAAAAGCTGTACCAGATAATAGAAGGCATATCACTTGAAGATTTTCAGCAACAACTAAAACAGATAGTGCATATAACTCAAAGAGTAAATAATTACATACTCAAGAAGTTAACATACGATTTCAAATAAACTTCCATCAATAATGGAAAGAGAGATAACAGCTACTGAACTTGTGAAACTTGTTTTTCCTGAAACAAATCTTATAAATTTCAACCGACAGTAGTAATGGCTTCTCAGTCAATGTCTGCTGAATATTTCCTTAATAAGAAAAAGCTTAATATTTCCGTTACTATTATATTTATTCACCATTTCACTTACGATAATTATTGGACCTTTTTCTTTGCTTTTTTTTTTAGCAATATCCTTTTTAGATTTGTCTAAAAATTAAAAGACAAATGAATTTTAATCCTAACAATCTCAGAACCAAATGTGACACACACTGCGTCAGACCAAATTTAATAATTGGTAGAAAACTAATAAGAGGCTTCTCGGAAACATTTGTACTAATAATGTGCAGGGTATATATATATATATATATATATATATATATATATATATATATATATATATATATATATTGCTGTGGCTTTCCTCTGTCTTTTCTAGAAGTACTTTCATGGCAATTGCTCGAATGAGCTACGTTCACTGGTTCCCAAACTGCACGAATTTAAGCGTGTTACTGGGTTGGCATCTCGGTCCCACCCTTTCACTGTCGAAACGACTAAATGTAGCCACCTCTTCTACTCCAACAGCACCTCCCGTTAATGGTACTCCCTCCCTATCACTTGCTTCCCTGATAGTTATAATCTTCAAATATTCAAATGCAATGCCAATCGACATCTTCTGATACCTTGACCTTGGCCCCTGTCCTTCTCTTTATCCTTTTCCCAAACACTCCTCTTTACTCTTACTCTCATTCTCTGCAACCCCTTGTGTGCTACTGGTACTTCCGCCTTTCTTGGGACGAATTGCTGATATATATATATATATATATATATATATATATATATATATATATATATATATATATATGTGCGTGTGTGTGTGTGTGTGTGTGTGTGTGTGTGTGTGTGTGTGTGTAAGTGTAAATAAAAAGTAAGAACAGTAAGATATATAATCCGGTGTTGTTGTAGATATTTTTATTTTTACAAAATAGTGCTCAATGTAAATTTACAGAGCATTAATATTATAAGTTAATTGATTTAAAATATGTTTTTTCCGCTACACAGTCCTAATCATGTTTCAAAAATGGAAGCTAAAAGCCACGAATTTAATTTTGCAATTAAATTAAAGACATTAGTTCCATTTCGTTCTCAGGCGAAGTTATATATATATATATATTATTCACTTCACTCCAAGCAAGATGCCACTAAGGTGCAAGGAGGTATTGTGAGTTAAAGCGAATGAAAAGGCGTTAGAAGGAACCAGAAACTCATTTCTAAACAGCAAACAAGTGATAAATCTCTGATCCTGTTCAAAATACATGGGAGAAGTGTGAACCCCACAATAGACAAACTTATCTACTCTTATTGAGGAAAAATAAATTAATAGCGAATAAAACACATCAGAAGTATAGGTTTGAAGTAGATTTTAAAAGAAACTGAATACCAAATCCTATAGAGAAAACAAGGGATAAACCTCTATTCCTGTTCAAAAGATCGGGAAGGAGAGTGAACCGGACAATAAACAAACCTATCTACTCCTATTGAGTCATTCTGAAAACACAATTTTAAATTCCACATTATTATTTTATATATGAAATATACATACATAAAGTATAGTAGATTATATGTCACCCTAAAATGAATTTTACGGGATGTTGCAAGTTTCTCATTATTAGAAAGGTTACAGAATCTCTAAGAAAAATTAGATTGTAATTAAGAATTCTAATTAAAGAATAAGCGTAAGTTCTAACAGACAAACATTTTGAACAATAAATTGAAAACAGGGTCATTTTAATTACGACAAAGTTATAAAGACAGCATTAATATTAATTACACCCTACATGGTGGCAAACTAATTTCAGAAGTCATTAGTTCATTGATTGAATATTATATTTCTTATGAAAAAAGATTATTTCCATATGAAAAAGATTGCAAAACATCTTGAATAGCATCAAAAACCTGATCTTTGCTCATAAATTGATGTTCCTCTTCAGAATGCTTCATCAGTTTTAATCAACTTAAATTCGACCAAATAAGTTGGTCACTTCATTAAATTAGTTTATCCAGTTCCTTCCTTTAATGTAATGCGTAAATATAAACATTTTAGAATGGATAATATTACTGTCCTTCTCTACAGAAACTCTCGATTCTCAAAGTTGTTATGAAGAAATTACAAAAAAAAATTAAGTTATTTTTTTTTATCTAGAAAATATATTTCTGTCAGAAATTCTTGAATGAAGAGTTATCATTATTTACAACCGGACTATTGTCTTCATTTTTGTAATTGTTATCACAACGTTTCGGCAGTTGACGCCCCAGCTTTCATCAGGTTTACGACGATCTGGGTAACCTACAGGGAATTCGCAACTGAACCCTTTATTTAGTCTACGAAGGTAGATTGTTATCGTTCTACTGTCCATGTCTCGTTTAGTTCTTATTTTAGGACTGTTTAAAATTATGTTTAATATTGTTGTATTTATATATATATATATATATATATATATATATATATGTGTGTGTGTGTGTGTGTGTGTGTTAGTGAATATACATATATCAACGGTAGTCGTCACAAAATTATAATTTTGGAGTGTTAATGTTTATATCTGTCACGATGGCCATCTTAATTGTTATGGCGGTGATTGTGTTTGTGGGGGGATGGTAGTAATAGTGTAAGTAACAGTGTTGGTAGTGTTATTGTTTCTTGATGGTAGTTATGTTTTGGTTGTTTTAGTGTTCAACCATTTTTTCGATAGGTTGGTTCTTGTTTGTGTTCAGTTTTTGTTGTTGATGTCATCCATTTGGTTTGAATGGTAGATATTTGTTTTCGT